TACATGAGTTGCTGTTTACATGTGAACATTAGCTCATGACGATACCTAAGTACGTGTGTCGCCTGGACAGTCACCGCTGCCATCAGTTGACTGGACAATCTCTTTACATGAGTTGCTGTTTACATGTGAACATTAGCTCATGACGATACCTAAGTACGTGTGTCGCCTGGACAGTCACCGCTACCATCAGTTGACTGGACAATCTCTTTACATGAGCTGCTGTTTACATGTGAACATTAGCTCATGACGATACCTAAGTACGTGTGTCGCCTGGACAGTCCCTGCTACCATCAGTTGAAGCTACTGTTTAACAGTCTTGTTCTCCGTCCGTAGATCTAATAATTCAGAAGTACTAAGGAGGTTACATAAATTTGAATTTATTGCTTAGTATAACATAGGTACAAAGAATTTCTTATTTGACTAATCTGAGAAGCAAAACCGATACAAGCACAAAGGTCACAGCTTCTCAAACAACCATGTTTATCGAACGCCAATTCAGGTGACCTCAATTCCCTAGGCGAGGCCATAGTGCGGAGCGATAGGAACTTGGAAGCCGCCTGCTTTTTCTATCTATCGAACTATTCTCTTTATGCTCCAGCCACCGCAATAGACGCCACTCCAGGCGTCGGGAATCCAGCTACGATCTCCGGCGACCGTAAGCGCGGGGTCTGCGGACGGCGAGTAAGGGTAACTCGCCGCCCGACCAGAACCAGACCCGAGCGTACGGCGCGTAGCGTTCCGCGCGCTCCTCAAAGAGCCAATAGACCACTACAGACGGGGCCCTATAGGGCTGATGTTCAGACGGAGTTGCGGGGTAAGCGCAATGTGGCACCGCGGCCTTGGCCTAGAGCAGGAGAAGGAACAGGGGGGTTTTTAGTCTGGGAGAAGCCATTTGATGATTTTCCCCTAACAAAAAACCAGAATCCATCAGCATTGTAGCTTACCATGAAACAAAGGCATGGGTTATGATAATCATGTGGTACCTGTAAAACATACGTGACTCAACACATGTCTTTTCTAACCTTACTGAAACAAATTTAGGTCAACGATTCTATTAGCTATCACTGATACAATCGTATCAAGCTACTCCAATTTTGGCCTAGTCTTACAACGGACTGTCAACCTTATCATCTTAGGATTTGGTTTCAAAATTGAATAAGGAGGTTTCATGTTTTGGTATAGCTTCATTTGCTGGCACGTCTAAGATTTCTTAACTTAGGTTTTCAACTGTGTTCCTAAAGAATTAAGATTGAAAATCCTTTACGAAAGTTGGATAGAATCGTATACCTCAATTTGCATTTAAACTTGTTGTACCCAAAAATTTTTGGGTACAACAAGTCCGGTTTGTAAAAAGAATCTGTATGTGAAACTGATTTAAAAAGAGTAACCATGGAGTTTCTTGCTCGTTCTTCTCCATCGGAATCTACACTTTGGAACGAGCAAATAGCTTCACTAAGAGGACTGACCGACAGACTGACACTATATTTTCAAAATTTTTGTTTGACGTTCAAAAGTGCCTGTAAAGGTCTAATTGGAATAAATGATTTTTGACTTTTTTTACTTTTGTGCATATTCTACAGGAGGCCCAATCCTTCCCCCATGCTCAATCTTCAAATCCTCTATCCTTAAATCCCTAACAACCCACAAGAAGCCGGCACATTCTTGTAGTAACTCCTTTGGTATTACGTGTATCCATGGGCGGCGCTGATTGCTTACCCTTAAGTACTTAATTGGTTAATTCATGTCGTGGTGGCCCGGAGGTTAAGGAGCCCGCTTCTCATGCATGAGGGTGTGGGTTCGAAACCTGGCATGTACCAAATGTGACTTTTTCCGAGTTATATGTACTTCCTATTATTATTTAGACACCACTGACATACGGTGAAGGAAAACATCGTGAGGAAGCATGGACTTGTAATTTCTAATTATAAGTTTGAAATCGCCAACCCGCATTGAGCAAGCGTGGTGATTAATGATCTAACGAAGAGGCCTTTGCTCAGCAGTTGGCACTTATAGGCTGATGATGATGATGATGAAGTAAAATTGGTCTAGTCGATTGCCAACCTATGACTTAAAAAACTACTGGTCTTAAATTTTGGCAGGATAATACAGCCAATATGATATTCCAGACTATAATCTAGATACTATATCTGTGCCAAATTTTTTGCAGATCGGTTTCAGCCGTTTTGGAGTTAGTTGACTCACAGACATACAAACAGCTACTGAAAATCCTTATTTACATTAGTTTGAATATGAAATTACATACCTACATACTATCAGAATCGGAATGTTTATTTGTGTATCACATGTATACATATAAGTATATCTATATAATGATGTAATTAATAAAAACATTGCGAGTGTAATGTTTTAAGAATTACTAGCGACCTGCCCCGACTTCTAATGAGTGCAATACTGATACTAATTTTTTCCACTATTTAATAGATCTTTTTATATGTATGTATAGACCTTTCTCTTTAATCACTCTATCTATTAAAAAACTGCATCAAAATCCGTTGAGTAGTTTGAAAGCTTTAAGGGACAGAGAAAGCGACTATGTTTTATACATTTTAAGTTTGAATGGGTCGGCTCGACCGGAGTGATACCACGGCCTCACAGAAAACCGTCGTGAAACAACCACAGCGTTGTGTTTCGCCGTGTAAGTGAGGTTACCGGAGGCCCAATCCTTTCCCTGCCCCGATCCCTCCCAATCCCTTAAGCCTTTGACTGCCGACAGAAAACTGTTGAAGGCAAATCCTCCGCTAACGGAGGTCACCGGTGACCCCCATGGCGCTTAACGTGACAATCTCCAAAACCTTAATCCCTAAAAGGTCGGCAACGCACTCGTAACTCCTCCGTTGCTCCATGGCCGGCGCTGATTGCTTACCATCTGGTAATTCGTAAGCTCGTTTGCAGGCCTCTTAAATAAAAAAATAAATAAATACTATGTAGTGATATAAAAAAGCATTTTTATGAAAATGGTTAAAAAGTTTAAATTCAGTATTTCACACGCAATTTTTCCACGTATTCTGACCATACTGATTTCATTAAACTTTCCTTTGATTTTACTAATGTTTGGAGATCGAAAATTAACTCAGTCGATCTAGCCATATCTGACTGCACGGTTGGCACAGTAGCTGTGCAACTGGCTGCCGTGCACCATGTCGCGGGTTCGATGCTCGCACGGAACAACACTTTGAGTGATCAACAAATTGTTGTTTCGTATTTATTTATTTATTGTTGTTTATGATTTTTTATGCAATATTTCGGCAAACGAGCAGATAGATAACCTGATGGTAAGCAATCAGCGCCGGCCTTGGGTTATAAGGAATTTAAAGATTTAGGGGATTTGATGATTGAGGATGGGGAGAAATGGGCCTCCGGTAACCTCACTCGCACGGCGAAACACAACGTTTGTTTTGGTTCACGTCGGTTTTCTGTGAGGTCGTGGTATCACTCCGGTCGAGCCGACCCATTCGTGCCGAAGCTTGGCTCTCCTATACTTAAATCATATAATTATATGATGTCATAAGAAATGTCTGATATTAAAACTAATACAAGTTCAAGGGCTGATTTATCAATAGTCAGATAAATGTTATCTGAGGAATAAAATTGTTGCTGTCACTGTCTTATACAAACATTCTGACGCGACAGCATCATAATTATGCCCTAGGTAACATTTATCTGACTATTGAAAAATCAGCCCTAAATATACTGGTGGTGATCGCTTATCATTAAGATTCAGCCAGGGTTGTCAGTTACGCGGTTCCGGCTTGGAGGTGGGAGGGGATGGTTTTTAGTCAGTAAGAGTCTGACTCTTCCTTGCCTCATCCTGGGTAAGAAAAATCATTTGATATATATATTTTTTTTATTTAGTAGGTGCGAGCAGACGGATTACCTGATGGTAAGCAATCAGCGCCGCCCATGGACACCCGCAACGGAGGAGTTACGAGTGCGTTGCCGACATTTAAGGGATTAGGGATTTGAGATTTAGGGATTAGGGATTTGAGATTTAGGGCTTAGGGATTTGAGATTTAGGGCTTAGGGATTTGAGATTTAGGGATTAAGAGGGATTGGGGGCGGGGAAGGATTGGGCCTCCGGTAACCTCACTCACACGGCGAAACACAACACTGTAATTGTTTCACGCCAGTCTTCTGTGAGGCCGTGGTATCACTCCGGTCGAGCCGACCCATTCGTGCCAAAGCATGGCTCTCCCACACTTTCTCCCCTGACTATACCCCATATTATAAAAAACCCTCATCTGGTATATTAAAAAAAAAAACATCAAGTGATCTGTATTCACATTATTGCTGCCCTATCACAATCCAAACTAATATTATAAATGCGAAAGTAACTCTGTCTGTCTTTCCTTCACGCCTAAACTACTGGACAGTTTTTTGTGAAATTTGATACAGACATAGTTCGGAACTCGAGAAAGGACATAGGATAGTTTTTATACCAAAAACCTGCGGGAAGTCACTATTTCACGCGTACGGTCGCGGGCAAAAGCTAGTAAGTACATAAAAACTTATGTCTCATGAATTAGAAGCTTACATACAACATAGTATGTTTAATTTTATCAAAATCTGTTCAGTAATTTTCGATATAAAATCATAAATGGCTTCGATAAAAGCCTATGTTGTATGTAGATCTGAAAACTGTAAAAACAACCGTATAAAAACAACAAAACTTTCACACATGACAAAATCACCTTTATTATAAAAAGAATAGAATAGAAAATCGTAAACAAGAAAATGGCAATACAAAATTTTCTTCGTAAACAAACTTAAATTTGCTATCGAAAAACTATTTTTCTTTAACATTTCACACAGCATTCGTGTTCAAACGACCGCAAATACACGTTGTAAATTTGAAATGAGAATGCAAATTTGGCGCGCCGCGCGTATAAAAGGCGGGAGTTTGTCATCCACGGCAGTGCGACTAAAACAGCCGTTCCCACCGGTGTTGTCACTCTAAAAAATCTTTTTTTTTTTAAATAAAGATGTTGAGTGCACTGTTCTTCTTAACCGCCGCCTTAATGGTGGCTTACAAATTTTATTCAAAAAACACCGTTACTTACAAGAAGGTTAATAAATACGGTGAAAATAAAGTTTTGGTTCTGAAAGAAGCACCGGGCCCTAGTCCTTTGCCTGTTATAGGCAATCTACATCTCTTGGGCAAGCACGAATCCCCGTTCCAATCCTTCACTGACCTGGCGAAGGAATATGGGGATATCTTTAGCTTGAAACTGGGAACAGCGAAATGTTTGGTCGTCAACAACTTGGAGCTGATTCGAGAGGTTCTCAACCAAAATGGAAAGTTTTTTGGCGGACGTCCCGACTTCTTGCGCTTTCATCAACTCTTCGCCGGAGACAGGAACAATTGTGAGTACTTATATTTTTTTATAGAATTATCTCTCCATTACAAGCTTAATCTTTAATTTTCTAACCGCATCTACTAGTTAGTAAAGTGATAAAATCATTAATTTTTCTATTATACTAGCTTAGAGCATCGCACGCGTATAAAAGCAATTTTAAAAACATCCTTGTTACGACTGAAATACGCAAATCACAATATAATTTATAGCCTATATAGCACTCAGGAACATTGTAGCTACATCAAAATATCGTTACTTTCGCATTTATAATATTAGTAAGAAGCAAGATATACAAATCACACCTAGACCCGAAACAATTTAATTTTGTGGATTACACAAAAAGCGGGAATTGAACCCGCAACTCGTTGCTCCGTAGCCGGTATCCGAACCACCGCGTCAACTGTCCAGTGAAATTATTGTAGCGTAATTATTGTAGGCTTTCTCGATAAATGGCCTAATTAACACAAACAAAGCTACTTATCAATTTTGAATTAGCAGTTTCAGAGTTTTGCGCGGACACAAAAAAGAATATATTCTTTATAGTGTTACAGCTGTGTGTTGTTTATCTTTTCTTTAGTAGATTATTTGTTAATTGGTATAAGAGCGTCTCAAAGGTTTTTTTTCGACCCAATCTACCTATTCCCATCCCCTAATCCTTGGACCCTTTTGACTTTTTAAGTGTGGGAGAGCCATGCTTCGGCACGAATGGGTCGGCTCGACCGGAGTGTCATAACGGCCTCACAGAAAACCGGCGTGAAACAACCACAGCGTTGTGTTTCGCCGTGTGAGTGAGGTTACCTGATACCCAATTTTCTCCCTCCCCCCCAAACTCATAAATCTCCCAAGCCGTCGGCAACGTACGACGTCTCTCCTCCGTTGTTGCGGGTGTCCATGGGCGGCGCTGATTGCTTACCATCAGGTAATCAATCAGCTCGTTTGCCGACCTATCGCATAAAAAGAAATCTTAGGGTGTAAATGGCCGCTGTCAACAGCTTACCATCAGGAAAACATGGTCTCCTTCGCAATTCGCGTGCGTCTCGACGTATAAGGCGATTCGAATTTAACAAAAATATGTTTAAAAATAATGTAAAATTGACAATATAACGATATGACGTAAAATAAAATAACTGTGTCAAAATTGTTTTCCTCTACTTCTATACTAATATTATAAAGAGGTAAAATTTGTAAGTTTGTATGTAGGGGGTAATCTTTGGAACAGCTGCGTCGGATTGCCAAAATTCTTTCACTGATAGACGATTAAATCTTTAAAACTACGCAACTGATTTTGATGCGGTTTTTTTCAATAGATATGGTGAATAAAGAGGAATGTTTATATGTCTAAGAACATGCATTAAATAGTGGAGAGATTTAGTATCAATATTACACCCGTGCGAAGCCGGGGCAGGTCTCTAGTCTTTACTACTATTATAAAGAGGTAAAATTTTTAAGTTTGTATGTAGGGGGTAATCTTTGGAACCGCTGCGTCGGATTGCTAAAATTCTTTCACTGATAGATAGCTACAATGTTCCTGAATACTATAGGCTATAAAACATCACGCTACGATCAAATGGAGCTGAGCAGCGGGTGAAACCGCGCGAGAGTAGCTAGTATATAATAATTTACTATTAATACTCATTTATACCTATACTTAAAAATAGAGGTACCTAAGTATTGTCAATAATAAACTCAATAGTACCTATTTCTGACAACATCATTTTTTCTGAAGAAGAAAATCGTTTCGCCTGAGGCCCAATTCTTCCCTCTTCCTCCGACCTCAATTCTCAAATCATCTATCCTTATAACCCACAAGAGGTCGGCAACGTATTTGCAGTGACTTCTTTGATACTACGAATGTCCATGGGCGGCGCTGATTGCTTACCATCAGGTAATCCGTCTGCTCGTTTGCCGACCTATTACATAAACAAGGCGTGTCGATCTTCTTCAATCTTTTAATTATTAGAAATTATATAAGTCCAGATTGTTTTTCTAACGCTGTTTACCTTTACGTACTTATTAAAAAAATCGCATCAAAATCCGTTGCGTAGTTTTAAAGATTTAGGCCTACATAGGGATATAGGAACAGAGAAAGCTGTTTTGTTTTATCTATACTAATATTATAAAGAGGTAAAATTTGTAAGTTTGTATGTAGTGGGTAATCTTTTGAACCGCTGGTCGGATTGCCAAAATTCTTTCACTGATAGATAGCTACAATGTTCCTGAGTGCTATAGGCTATAAAACATCACGCTACGATCTATAGGCGCCGAGCAGCGGGTGAAACCGCGCGATAGTAGCTAGTACTACATATATGTAGTGATATTACACACACATTCGCACCTGTATATAATTAAATCGAGGCGCTAATATACTCAAATTACGCATACACAGTGCATGCAGTAGGAAGTGTAATTTGAGCTATCAAATCGCAGCGTTGCAACTTATTTGGCCCAGGCATTCTTGAGTAGCCTAATTTTTGCTGTATTAAACTACACATACGTACAAACAGGCAATAAATTATTAATTACACGTGTAAGTTGACATACTTATAAATGTAAATATAACATTTATTTATTTATAATAGGTAGGTATGTGTCAATGAAATAGTTACGTATTTCTTCTAGCATCCGTAAATCTCCACGCTTTTTTTTTTTTTTTTTTTGTGAGGGGAAAATCATCAAATGACTTCTCCCGCCCAGGGCCGGGCAGGAGGGAGTGTCAGACTCTTACTGACTAAAAACCCCCCTGTTCCTTCTCCTGCTCTGTGCCGAGGTCGCGGTACCTTATTGCGCTTACCCCGCAACCCCGGCTGAACATCAGCCCTTTAGGGCCCCGTCTGTGGTGGTCTATTGGCTCTTTGAGGCGCGCGCGGAACGCTACGCGCCGTACGCTCGGGCAAATCTCCACGCTTGGTTGAAGGGTTTTGAGATCGTTGTTTAAATGGTGTATACTGGTTTATCAATGCGTCTTGTCTTCTAGTAGTCTCCCATCAGCTCGGATACCCAGAGGAAGAGTGGGGTTGGTAAAAAAAATTAAGTGAACATAATTTTTAAAATATTTTTTTAAACAATTTTTTGTCTTGCACTTATATTTTCTCCTGTGTCGTGGGTGCGTTTACAAACATACCTTTTCATAAAGTCAAAGTCGAAATCATTTATTTAAATAAGACCCTTGCAGGCACATTTGAACGTCAAACAAAGCTTAAAGATATAAAGTCAGTCTGTCGGTCAGTCCTCTTAGTGAAGCTATTTGCTCATTATGTACCTATAATAATATACCATTAATATGTGTATTTAAAAAGAAAAAGAAAATTGTTTTTAAGCTGTTAATACATTCTATAAACAAACAATAAAAAAATGATATACGTATTTTTATAGTTAACTACCTTTTACCCGCGACTTTGTTCACGTGGAATAGTGACTTCCTGCAAGATTTTTGGTTTAAAAACTATCCTATGTCCTTTCTCGAGTTCCAAACTATGTCAGTACCAAATTTCACACAAATAGGTTCAGTAGTTTAGGCGTGAAGAAAAGACAAACAGACAGACAGAGTTACTTTCGCATTTATAATATTTTGTAGTTTGGATTTTGAAGAAATAATATTATTATGTTTAAGAAAAATAAAACTTAGAATCACTCACTACAAATTAACATACGCTTACGAAATACAAAGAAAGCTCATGATTTTAACAATTCCACAAAGGCTATTTATTGTATTTGACAAGGTGTCAAGCATTCAATTGTTTTCGAGCTGATTTTTCAATGGTTAGATAAAAGTTACCTAGGGAATAATTATGTTGCTGTCGGGTCAGAATGTTTGTATAAGACAGTGACAGCAACAATTTTATTCCTCGGATAACATTTATCTGACTATTGAAAAATCAGTTCTACATCGGTTTCAAAAGGGACGTCGTGGTGGCCCGGAGTTTGAGACGCCCGCTTCTCATGCATGAGGGTGCGGGGCCGAAACCTGGCAAGTACCAATGTAACTTTTCCGAGTTATATGTACTTTCTATTATAACAAGCTACTCTCGCGTGGTTTCACTCGATGCTCGGCTCCATTTACTCGTAGCGTGATGTTTTATAGCCTATAGCACTCAGGAACATTGTAGCTATCTATCAGTGAAAGAATTTTGGCAATCCGACCAGCGGTTCCAAAGTTTACCCCCTACATACAAACTTACAAATTTTACCTCTTTATAATATTAGTATAAAAGCATATAGATTTAGACACCACTGACATACGGTGAAGGAAGCCTGAACTTATAATTTCAAATTATAACTTGAGAAAGCGTGGTGTGATTAATGCTCAAACCTTCTGCGTGTGAGAAGAGGCCTTTGCTCAGTAGTGGGCGGTTATAAGCTGATAATGTGATAGATTATAGTCTGGAATAATACAAAGGCTTTTTTTGTGAGGGGAAAATCATCAAATGCCTTCTCCCGCCCAGGGCCGGGCGGGGGGAGTGTCAGACTCTTACTGACTAAAAACCCCCCTGTTCCTTCTCCTGCTCTGGGCCGAGGTCGCGGTGCCTCATTGCGCTTACCCCGTAACCCCGGCTGAACATCAGCCCTTTAGGGCCCCGTCTGTGGATAATATAAAGGCTACTTTTTGATCTGTAACTCCAGACAAAGCCGTTATTAAAAGCTAGTCTCATAATAATACAATAGGAGACAGTAAATTTATATACAGACGCACATAAAGTTATCCTATCTGATCAAAATTCTTCATTACATTTTAAATTGTACTGCGAATGATATAGAGTTGAAAATTAATTCGACGTTATAGTATATGTTAAAGTGCAAGTGTACTACAAATTTTGAAATCTGACACATGTAAAGAAATGCGTAGATGTGTGGTGCAAATCATAAGTTGAAGCGATTTCATTGACAATGTAATTTTCTCTTTTAATTTCATCATTTTCAATTCTACTTAATATTACAAAAATATATTTGAATATTTTTCGCTTTTGTGGTTAAAGTTAAGTACTAACGTGACGTCTTCCGTTCCTTATAGTGATATGACGACATTGACAGTTGTAGTGCGACACTGATTAGTATTATAATGACAGATTATACAACAAATTATAAATACTTTCTGAGATTATTTAGACACTACTGACATACTGTGAAGGAAAACATCCTGGACCTATAATTTCCAAATATAAGTGTGAAATCGCCAATCCGCCTTGAGCAAGCGTAGTGATTAATGCTCAAACCTTCTCCGTGTGAGAAGAGGTCTTTGCTCAGAAGTGGCCACTTATAGGCTGATGATAATGATGATGAAGATCCAATGTTTATGATATACTTTAGGTATGTTATATATAAGCGTCTGACTGTCGACCTTTTACTTAAGCTTGCTACTAGTTCGAGATTCCTATCACGGTATAAAACAAAGGCGCTTCCCGTCGTTTGTCCCTATGTATACTTACATCTTTAAAACTACGTCACAGACTTTGATTTTTTTTTTTTGAAAGAAATAAGGATTAAAGAAGAATGTTCGAGTCTCTAATTTATTCAAGTTTACAGACGAAGTCGCGGGCAGGAAACTAGTAAAAAATACAAGCGTTCAGCTTATGAATTGGACCACAAAAACATTACTTAAAAGCATAGACATTATAATTTGTTTTAAGTAATTATTTTTGACACTGTTTATATTAGGTGGGAGAGTGAGTTTTATATTTCAAATGTGACATTAAATTGATAAGTATTGTCTGTCCCCCTGACCTACAGTATGGAGGTTAAATATATTTATTTATTTATTAACTTCATAGTTTACTGGCTATTCCTGCACGGTTTCACCCGCTGCTCGGCTGGTTTTGATTGTAGCGTGATGTTTAATAGCCTATAGATAGCACTCGGGAACATTGTAGCTATGAATAAGTGAAAGAATTTTGGGAATCCGACCAGTGGTTCCAGAGATTACCCCCTACATACAAACTTACAAATTTTACATACAGAGATGGTATACAAAATTAATAATAAATAAATAAATAAAATTATTCATAATACTAACTAATAAATAAAAAAAAAATAAAAATAGATAGAATCTACAGAACGCCACTAGCTACGATTCTATTATACCTCTTTATATTTCATCACATTTTTTTGAGGGAGGTAGTTATCATGTATTCTCTCGCTTTGGGTGAAAGCAAGTATCAGACTCATCACCGATTCTTACAATATACGTTAAAGGTATTTTGTAATTAAAAAATCTTAAAAAAACTTTTTCTTTGTTACAGCACTAGCCCTTTGCGACTGGTCGAACCTCCAACTCCGGCGAAGAAACCTAGCCCGTCGCCACTGCGGTCCCAAACAGCACACCGACAACTTCGCGCGCATCGGTGACGTAGCCACCTTCGAGTCAGTCGAACTCGTCCAAACCCTCAAAGGTATCACCAGAAACACTGACGAAGCTATCAACCTAAAACCCATTCTAATGACAACGGCAATGAACATGTTTTCCCACTACATGTGCAACGTTAGGTTCGACGCTGAAACTGACAAAGACTTCCGAAAAGTAGTAGACCATTTTGACGAAATCTTCTGGGAGATCAACCAAGGATACGCTCTGGATTTCCTGCCTTGGCTCGCACCATTCTACAAGAAGCACTTGGAGAAGCTCTCGAACTGGTCTTCTGACATCCGGTCTTTCATCCTATCAAGGATTGTTGAGCAGAGGGAAATGAACTTGGACGTCGAGGGACCAGAAAAGGACTTTTTGGACGGTCTTCTCAAAGTTCTGCACGAAGACCCGACTGTTGATAGAAACACTATTATTTTCATGCTAGAAGACTTCCTTGGTGGACATTCTTCTGTTGGTAACTTGGTTATGTTATGCCTCACAGCTGTGGCTAGAGATCCAGAAGTAGGTAGGAAGATCAGAGCGGAATTGGACGCTTTGACTAAAGGTAAACGGCCTGTGACTCTTGTTGACAGGCATAGCATTCCGTACACTGAAGCAACTGTTTTAGAATGTCTAAGATACGCTTCATCACCAATAGTCCCACACGTAGCGACAGAGAACGCCACAGTAGCCGGTTATGGAGTTGAAAAAGGAACAATAGTCTTCATAAACAACTATGAATTGAACACATCAGAAGAGTACTGGGAAAGACCAGAGGAATTTGATCCGTCGAGGTTCTTAGAGAAGAGTAAAGTGCGAGTACGAAGGAATTCTTTATGCGATTCTGGTATGGAGTCAGATGGTGAGAGACCATCTAAGCATGCGGAGAATAATGTTGAGAAAGAAGTTTGGTCGGTAAAGAGGAATATCCCTCACTTCTTGCCTTTTAGTATTGGTAAAAGGACGTGCATAGGACAAACTCTGGTCACGACAATGAGTTTTGTCATGTTCGCCAATATTATGCAAGAATTTGAAATCGGTGCTGAAAACTTGGAAGATTTGAGACAAAAACCTGCTTGTGTAGCCTTACCTAAGGATACATACAACCTCTATCTGATACCACGGAAACATTGATTCGGTCTTCTTAAATTATTTTCGGCTTGGTATGTTTTTTGTTTTTTCTTTTTTGTTGCTGGAGTATCTAGACTTTTTGTTGGGTTTTATCAAAATTAGAATTCGAATTGTATCGTTTTAAGTTTAAAAAGATAACCTCTTTAGTTTTCAAATTTGATTTCTTGTTAACGTAGATTTTTTTATTAGATATTCTATTAATAAAAAAAATACATTCAGTTTTTATTGATTTTCGCCTAGATTCTCTTTCTAAAAGATAAAAGAAAAAAACAAAAACAAATCAAGAAAGGTTCGCTCAATAAGCTAATTTATTATTTTCGAAATAATTCAATTATTACAAGTTGTCTTAAATAAGTTATTTTTTTCACATATGGTAATTATTGTTTGCTATTAATCTGACATTATGTGGTAATTACAAAATTATTCAAATAGTAGGTACAATTATTAGGAAACAAAATACGAAGAATTGGGACCAAAAATGACGTTTGCGTGATGTGGGAAATATGAGTTCATTTATTATTAAGTCTTTTCGAAAACAAAATATCGCATTTTTCAATACTTATGTAAACAAAGGACAATAATTGAGGAGCTTTATAATAAAAATATGCGTAACGTCATTCATGAAATAAGAAAGCAGTTAAAAACATAAAAATACCGAATTAGCTAAATAGTAAAAAAAAAACATAACTTGGACACATTACTTTTTATAAATTCAATTTCGCGCCAATTTTACTGTCAATTGTCTCAACTTTTTTTTTTTTGTTTACGGATTTCATAGATCTGCCAAGTTAGACGTATATGTTTACTAAAAAATTTCCTGACGTATCCTTTGAAGTAATTTAGTTTAGATGAAGAAAATAGATTAAAGTAGTAATCATAATCTCAAAAGGTGCCTCTAAGTAGTTATTTTTATAAAAATGTTGCAATAATAGCTAGAACATATTTTTATATAGACAATAATTGGGACCATAGATTAAAAAAACGACTGTATCATGCTTGGTGGACTAATGCTTGTATTTAGTAGAAAAAAAAATGTTTCTGATGACAAATAAATGCTTAAAAAATGATAAATCATTTAAAAATGCATTTTTGAATCACAGAAACATTTTTTTATTTAGAAACGTAGTGTTTTAGTTTTCATTAAAAGTAGTGAATTGATCATCTCTTAGAGTTTCTTATAATTACATTGATTTCTCATCAACATTGGCTGTTTATAAAAATAATGATACCGAAAGAGCGTATTTAGTAACAAAGTTGATTATAGCGACATCTTGTAGCGAGTAGTAACAAATTTGGTATTAATTTATAATTAGTTCGCTCTTTGGTCTTTGTATGTTTGATGTTGTTATTAATTTGTAGAACTGGTAAAAATCATTAGAAATAGTGAAAAAAATATAGACTTAAACGGGGGAAAATTATGTAAAACACTCTTATTAAGAATTAGAAGTTGTTTATTTAAATATTTTATAATATTAAAAGATTATAATAGATACTACAAAGTTCCTAAAAGACGAAATTATAATATTTTAGTTTGAACAATTTTATAATAATTATGGCTTATTTCCAAAGAGTTCTAACGTATTAATTTAATCGAAATAGTTGCTTTTTAGATGCTAAATTGACAAATATTGTGACGCCATTTTGTATTTTTGTAGCATATGTTTTATGTAGCGACAGACTAAAAAATGTTTTGTATTGACTGTGAATGGATGAGAGAATGATTTGACAGCTAAAGAATTAAATTTTTTTGTGAAGAAAATGATGAAATGACTTGATATTGTAGTAGTGTTAGTTAATATGTGATCAATAGTTGAATTAGTAGAGAAATTATAGTAAAACATTATTTGCAAATGAATTTTTTGTTGTTTTATTTTTATTTATTTATCTATAGGTAACCTCTTAAACACAAAACAACGCACAACGCTAATTGACATTACATTTATAAAGATAATATTTATATTAGAAAACGCATTTCTAACGATTTTTAAAGAAAACATTGCCTCAGATTTCTTCCTGTGTCGTGGGTGCGTTTACAAACATACAATTTCACATACTTACACATCGCACAATTAACGTTTCGTTTTTTTCAAAACAAAGAAATTAAAAACGATGTTTTATTGTTGTTTTCTTGGTAAATACGTAGCTGATTTACCAAGCGGCCAGGCATTGCTCAAATCGTGTAATTTAATCTAAACTAACATTTGCCCTCGACTCGACGCGTGGAATAGTGACTTCCTACAGCTCTTTGGAATAAAAACTATCCTATGGCCTTTTTTGAGTTCAAAATGAAACAATGAAACAATGAAACAATGAATTTATTTTTGCAAATAGGCCTTAAAACGGCACTTTTACACGTCAAATTATATGTGAAAAACTAGCTGAAGCCGGCATTTCCTATCTGACTACTCTGAGAAGAAATGCCGAAACAAACTCAGAGGTCAGTCTCTTTTCAAGTCCAGACAATATAAAATACCATAATGTGAGAGAACCGTGCAAGTTCATTCTGTAGTGGTCTTTTGAGGAAAGAACCACACCAGTTTAAGTGGACCCGTTCTGAAGACAGGCACGCAAGTGTCAGTTTGCAACCATATAGCTAGTGCTGTTGAGTTGTCCGACGAACAATACCGATCAAAAGAACATTTGGGTGGGTCGCGCAAGTACTCAAGCTGTCAGAACGCAGATGACTGGTGATAAAAAAGCACGACAAGTCTCACACGGTCCTTACACTAACAATAATATAAAATAATAAAAATGTCAACAAATAAATAAAAAAAAAATGTCAAATAAAAAATAAAAATGTCACACTATGTGATCATGTCATTGTATAAAAAATAAAAATAAACGTAATGTCAAATTGTATATAAAAGTGTAACTTATGTTACAAACATGTCAACATGACCTGTGCAGACATTACAGCGGCTCATTCCCAAGCCTGACTATCCTCTAAGTAGTCTTTTATTTTATAAAATGCTTTACAGCAAAGTTTAGCCTTTATTACACTTTTAAATTTATTGAGGCTCAAATTTTGAATATCGCTAGGAATTTTATTGTAAAAGCGTATACATTGACACCTAAACGAACTACTTATTTTCTGAAGCCTGGAGGCAGGCACAACATATTTGTTTTTCCCCCTCGTGTTGATATTATGTATATCACTATATTTCTTAAATAAGCTTTTGTTTTTATGAGCGTGAATTACATTTTCATAAATATATTGAGAGGCAACTGTCATTATTTTAGATTCCTTAAATAATTCTCTGAGCGAATGCCTCGGACTAAGATTATAGATTGATCGAATAGCCCTTTTCTGCAGAACAAAAATAGACTGGATGTCAGCAGCATTCCCCCACAACAAAATACCGTATGACATGATGCTGTGGAAATAACCAAAATAAACTAACCGCGCTGTATCTATATCTGTTAAATTTCTAATTTTTTTAACGGCATATGCTGCAGAACTGAGCTTCTTCGACAAGCCATCTATATGTGGGCCCCACTGGAGCTTAGCGTCCAGGGTTATACCTAAAAAGACAGTTGTATCTACAGGACTCAACTCCTCGCCCTTGACAAGCACACTGGTTTTTATCTGTTTAACATTTGGTGTTGTGAATTTAATACATTTAGTTTTAGTTTCGTTTAGTAATAAGTTATTCACACCAAACCAGTGAACTATTTCTGAGAGAGCACTGTTTACATTGTCAATTAATGATTGTCGTCGTCACAAAACTATGTCTGTATCAAATTTCACAGAAATCGGTTCAGTAGTTTAGCCGGTCTAGGTCATTAATTTGGTAAAGCGGCTGCAAGTTCGAGTATCTATGGTACATTTCACATGTCTTTAAGTCCACCCAAATATCTCAGAAACAGCAACAGTTCCAAAATTATGCCATTTTAATGGGAAATGGCTGAAACTCTGGTTATTACTAATATAATTAATCTTTAGAGTTTCGAATTGAAGCAGAGAAAACAGTTAACTTAATATAAACACACAAAAATGCTTTTCCTTTAAAGATTAAAAGACGTGATTACATCATACCCCAAGCGAACGCACCTATAAGTTCACACCTATATCTCTCCCGATCATTCCTCTATTGTGTCTCAAAAATTACCACGATTGAAAGATCATCTATACTAATATTATAAAGAGGTAAAATTTGTAAGTTTGTATGTAGGGGGTAATCTTTGGAACCGCTGGTCGGATTGCGAAAATTCTTTCACTGATAGACAGCTACAATGTTCTTGAGTGCTATAGGCTATAATACATCACGCTACGATCAAATGGAGCAGAGCAGCAGCTGAAACCGCGCGAGAGTAGCTAGTGTATGACAAGTATAGAGCTATCGAAGAAATTGTAATCTTTAAAAGCGCTTGTTATATTATTGAATAGTTAATAAGAAGATTTGATGGTAAGCAATCGATGGCCATGGACACTCTCAGCAACAGGGGAGTGCATTACTGGCTTTTTCGTGTGGGCGAGCCATGCTTCGGCACGAATGTGTCGGCCCGACCGGAGTAATACCACTGCCTCACAGAAAACCGGCGTGAAACAACAACAGCGTTGTGTTTCGCCTTGTGTGTGCCAAATCCTTCCCTTCCCCCAACCCCTAAATCTCCAAATCCTTAATCCCCAAAAAGTCGGCAACGCACTCGTAACTCTTCTGTTGTTTGCGGGTGTCTATGGGCGGCCCTGATTGCTTACCATCAGGTAATCCGTTGCTCGTTTGCCGACTTATTACATAAAAACATAGATATTAGAGTAACTAAAAATCGCGGGTTACTCACGTTATTATTTTTAGTTAATGTAGTATGTATCGCGATAGTTATAATAAAAACATAGATATTAAAGATTATTAAGTCATGAGTATAAATGTGGATGGATGGAGAGGGAGGGGGAGACCAAAGAAAATATGGATGGATTGTGTGAGAAGTGATATGGAAGACAGAGGAGTTAGCGATAGCGTGACGGGTGACAAGATAGAATGGAAGAAAAAAGCATATTGCGC